AACCAGTTTTAGGTAGTCATGATTTTACACATCTCTTATTAACACCACAAAGCTACCTTCTAGCACTTATAACGTGGAGGGCGTACTGGGGCCCAGCAGCGACAACCCTGGAGAAGCAAGGAATGAGCAGGAGCACCAGCAGGAAACAGCAAATACTGGGAGCTGAAAAGCACATCACCCTTTGGCTTCTGCCTTTCTGGAATTTGAAAGCTTGGGCAGATTTGGGCAAGACCTGAATCAAGTATCAGCTTGCCAAACTGGGAGCCACAAGAAGTTATCTCAGGTGGTGTTTAGGAAAGGAAACAGAAGCTTTCGGCCTTGATGAAAACTGAACCCAGAGGAAATCTCTGCAGACAGTGGGATTTGGTGCTCTAATGAGAAGCTGAGTTTTGTGTCCTTGGTAATGATAAAGCTTCCAACCAAACTCATTCTCCAGCCTTGGAACTCATGAAAGGAAAATTTCAAAGTTCTGCAGTGCTCGAGTTTTTTTGTTTATAATGTTGATTCTCTTCAAATAAGTTAGTCTAGAAGCAAACAATACTACTTATTAAGCATCTTTGTGATACAGAGTGATACAAGTATCCTGGCTGACTCATGGTTCTTGCTTAACTTATTAATCTCATAGGTATTTTAAAAAGAGTAAAATGTGCCATGTCCTGATACCATCTCTATTTGATTTGGCCCAGCCTGCTTTGGATCTTGTACTTAACAATGGAAAGAAAAATCTTTATTAGCATCTTAAAAAAAAAAAAAAACCTAAGCAACTCCTTAGTCATTCCAAACCAAAGCAGAAAGAGCTGATTGGTCTCCTTATCTGCCTAAGAACTGGGTGGTACAATATAAAATTGTCAAGAAGAGCTAGAACTGAGAGAGAGAAAATATTATCCTTGTGCTTATATCCTTCTTTTTGCCTCTAGTCCTAAAACCTGTATTTGACCAGCTTTGAAGAAAGAGGGGGATGTGAAGAGGAAATATTAATTCCAAAGGAGTTTATATGGGGGTCATAGTGTCATTGCCAAAAATAACCTGTTCTATACCACATGTGAGACAAAGAGATTCTTTCCAGGCTGGATCCAGTATATCAGGTTCCTTAGAGTTATGGTAAATAGAAAAGCATTCAGTTCTATTCTGGGGATAGATTAAGTGAGAGCAATGATACTTAGATCCTTTCTGGAATTGGTACATGGATTCCTCATCAAATTCTACATGGGGATAAAAGAAATGAGTTTTGCCTAGGATTCTGACAATCACAGACAGTATAATCTTTTTGAAAGGGGACTCCTCTTAAAATCATTAAATTTAATATTTCTGTGGGTTTAGATTATTCCCATTAGGGTTAAGTTAGGATTAAGGATAAAGAATAAGCTCTCTTACAGTATCCAGCTCATCTTATTTGCAAATATATTTGTTGAGCTAATGAAGAAACACAACCACTCAACCTCTTCTGCCATAATTCTATCAAGTGTGATACATAGAGCAATTCGTAAGTCAGTGCTTTCCTAACACTTTGATCTTTTTGAGAAAAAACCCTAGAAGAAAATTTGGCTATTTTGATTCTAAGTTATGGGTTATACTGGTCCTTGATATATCACCTCCTTCTAGTGACTGTTTAGCACTTCAATTTATTCCCATATTATTGAGATATAATACTTTTATGATAACATTCGGGAAGGGGGTGGAGTCACTTCACACATGCATTTAATGTACATGTGGCTTTAGAGTCTAACGCCTATGAAGATGAGACCAATGCCCAAGGATATGAGAGTAGCAGCTGTTCCCTGGGGCCATAGGAGGAAAGGCCCAAGCAGGATGAATGACAGGCAGCAGATGGTCCTGCTCTTCTCAGGGACTTTTCAAAGATGTGTCTCATCAAGATTTAGAGTAATCGCGAGAAAATATTTTCTGAGTACTTACTCCATGTCCATCCTTATGCCTTAACTTTCATATAATTTTTTTCCTTCTTTAATTCTCAAAACAACACAAACATATATTAAGGTTATAGTGGCTTAATACTAAAACAGTGGAGTCAAACTTATAGAGAAGAAAAAGCACTTTGGAATTCTTTATTCTTTCCCCCATTCACACGAGGAATTTTGGGAATTATCTTAAGGGAAGAAAGAAGTGAATGCCCTGACATCTACGTATATACACTTTCTCTTTATTTCTTCCTTTAGTCTAGCTCAATGGCTCCAATCCTCAATGTGAATATGTATTACTATAAGCACTAGTTCACATATACTAAATTTTAAGCATGATTTAAGGGAGTTCATGATAATTTTGACTACACCGGATTTTTGTTTAATTTAATTTAATTTAATTTAATTTTTTTTAAAGATTTTATTTATTTATTCATGAGAGACAGAGAGAGAGAGAGAGAAGCAGAGGGAGAAACAGGCTCCCAAGGAGCAGGGAGCCCGATGCGGGACTCGATCCCAGGACCCTGGGATCATGACCTGAGCCGAAGGCAGACGCTTAACCATCTGAGCTACCCAGGTGCCCTTTTGTTTAATTTTAAAACTAAATTTTGATTAACATGAGACTCTATTCAAAAGAAGCAATAAAAATTTAAAATATAAAACAAAATTCCAGAAACAGTGGCTATTGCCAAGTGGTATTTCAATGTGTCATGGAAAGATTGAGAAAGTAATTCAAATAATCTTTTCTAACATCAGCATCTTGACACATTTGGCTCTGTTGCCAACAGCAGAAAAAGAGGGGGATCAGAAAAGGAAGAGTCTTCAGGTTCACAGTTTCTTTAATAAAACTATCTTCCTTTTCCAGTCCTATACAGTGTAAGAGAAATCACTCAACCTTTCTCCCTATCTTTTCTCACCCACAAGAAGGAAAGGTAGACACTTATTTATAAAAAGTTAAGTTTTAGGGCGCCTGGGTGGCTCAGCTGGTTAAGCAACTGCCTTCGGCTCAGGTCATGATCCTGGAGTCCCGGGATCGAGTCCCGCATCGGGCTCCCTGTTCAGCAGGGAGTCTGCTTCTCCCTCTGACCCTCCCCCCTCTCATGCTCTCTCTCTCTCATTCTCCCTCTCAAATAAATAAATAAAATCTTTAAAAAAAAAAAAGTTTTAAAATCTCCACTTTTTCCACCTAAGATGAATGGGCTCCTTGGAAATGTCCCTTCTTTCTGAAGCCTGCCCTGGTAATCTTTTGCCACATGGTTCCATGGGCCACGGTTTAAGAGCAGGGACCTGAGGGCCAGGAAAATTGAGGACAGAGACCAAATCTGCCACTTAGTAGAAGTATCACTTTATGCAGTTTGTTTAATTTCTGAGGCTCAGTTTCCCCCACCATACAATGGAGATTTCTCACTTCCATCTAGGGCCATTCAGGACAATGTGCCTGAAACTCAGCAGACATTCCAAAATGTTTGTTGGCTGTATGGAAAGTAATCATGAACCACAGAGTATAGAAGGAGAACATGTCAGTTCTCATTAAACTGGAGTTGATATTATTACTTCCTATCATCTAAATAAAGGGGAATGATGTTGTTTTAAACATTTTAAGTGATCAGAAAGAACAGATTCAGGAGACATGAGGAAATTGATGGGAATACAGAATATCAACATATAAGTGATGGGACAGTGTTGGAGAGATTTCATTTGTAAATTCAAATTTTGTCCAGTTCTGATTCTGACGTCAAACCCTCTCTTAGATGGCAGCCAGGTGCAGGCGCATGAGCACATTCACACAGCTCCATGGCTGTCGCCTCCACCTTTGGCTTAACCTGTGTTCTCTCAGCATCAACTCGGCCTTACTCCTCTGGCCCCTCCTCAGGTCTCAGTGGTGACTAGACCCACGAGGCCAACCACTTTCATTTCTCATGAGTCTTCTGTGACTCTTCCTACTACACCTGGTGGGCCCCTCCCAAGCTCAATGGCTTCCAACTCAACATTCCAGGAAGGCTAGACTGCTGACTGTGGCACCATCAGGCTTACTGGGATAGGAGTGTCCTCCAGACTGGTATGGAGCATCCCATTGGGTGGCTTCTTCCACTAGTGCCAAAGGGCAACATGGCAAGTGTTCCCTTGCCATGCAGCTTTTCTTCAACGTACCTAATTCAGCTCCTGCTGTCCAGGCCCAGAGTCTGAAACATGCTCTCAGGACACTTATGAAGACCACTGCACTTTGCTCTCCTTCTATTTTCCTCATATTACCCTGGCCTTCTTTTACTGCCTTCATATCAGATACTCCTCCATCTTAATGCCAACTAAGCCTTAATGGACAAAAGGATAGCTCCTCTCTACTCTCTGTTAACTCCATAAACTTAATCCCCCATGGTTGGTTGTTGATCTGCTAAATAAAGGAAGAAAATAAAGGAATTAAAAAAAAAAAAAAACTTAAGACAATATCCTGGTTTGCAAGGCGATGTTTTTTCTGCATAATCCTATTTTGTGTATCAGAAGCTAAATATTACCTTGGTCTTAGTTTTTGCACAGCTTCAGAACCAAATAATAATCTTTGTAGACAGAGGGATGTCTTGGATGCAGCAGGGAGAAGGTCTTATACTTGGAAAGACAAGGGGTAATTCTTGAATATTTCTCTAGAATGATTCCGGTTCAAAGTGCAGTTTACTGGGCAATTTCCTTTTAAGAGCATCACAGAGACGTTCAGGTTGTGAAAGTCTGCATAATATTTTTAAAATATCTCATCCATTATTTGTATATAGTACAAAAAGTACAAAAAGCAAGCTTGGCTCTTGGAATTCCACACAGTTATAACTGTGTTGTATAGACACATTCTCAGTGTAAACTCTTTTGGTAACTTTATGGTGTTGACATTTATCGATGCTGAGCTAAGCTATGATCAGTTTCCCTAAATGAAGCCTTAAAACTACACAGCTGTTTTCTCAGACTCAGATTGTTGTTTTTGGTTATGATCAAACTAATAAATTGAATAGGCTGGTTTAATCTCTAGTATTTCATGTACACATCAATGTAGATTTTAAAGTAGAAAAGCAGAAAATGAAAGTATGTTTTCTTTGGCAGGCATTCGATGTACTTGGGAGAGTTGAAGCTTACCTTAAGCTCCTTAAATCAGAGGGTTTAAGTCTGCCTGTCTTGGCAGCGAGGCATGAGGAATTACACAGAGAAATTAAAGACTGCACAGCTGATGCTTTGCAAAAGGGACAAGCCTTAATCAGCCAAGTAGACTCCTGTAGGTAAGTCTATTTCTTCCTCAGTGTAACAAGCTTTTTCACAGTTTCCACAACCTGTTAAAAAATTAAGTTGCACGATTTTTTTTCTGCTTCTGATGTTTTGCTGCATTATGACATGGCTTAAAAGGATCTATTGAATGTTGGTCACCAGTGATTCTGAACACAGCATTGTTCATCCAGAAGTGAGCCCATCTTCTGAGCCTGAGGACCCAAAGATGCTAAAGCTTTTTTCTCTATGAGTTTCTGAGGTGGGGAGAAAGAAAGGACAAAAGAAGAAACAGAGCTTAATTCTCAGTGCTTTTCATAGCCCAGCACCTCTTTGGGGTTTCTTTCTCCCTTTTAATTCATGAACATTGAGTCTACCCTGTTCCTTTTTTCCTTTCTGGAAAAAAAAATACCCAAATACCCGAGTACCTAAATTCCCTTTCATTTATGATCTTGGTGGCTCACCAAGCAAAACCCTAAATAAAAGATGACATTATTAATAATAACAATAGGTCACTTTTTAAAAAACTGAGTGTCCACCATGTGCCAGGCACTGTGCCAGGAAGCTTAGGAACATTCTGTCATTAATCCTCACAGCAGCTCTACAAGACCCACAAGAGTAGACCCCCTTATCCAGGGGGGAGTATGTCCCCCCCAGTGGATGCCTGAAACCACGGATAGTACCAAACCCTATATATATATATATATATATATATATATATATATATATATATATATATATATATACACACACACACACACACACACACACACACGATGTTTTTTTCCTATATGTACATACCTGTGATAAAGTTTAATTTATAAATTAGGCATAGTAAGAGATTAACAGTGGTTACTAATAATTAAATAGAACACTTGTAACAATATACTGTAAGGAAAGTTATGTGAATGTGATTTCTCACTTTCTTGTTCTCAGAATTTCTTAGTATAGTGTATTCACATTTCTTGTGTCGATGTGAGATGATAATACCTGCATGGTGAGATGAAGTGAGGTGCATGACATAGGCATTGTGACGTAGTGTTAGGCTACTACTGACCTCCTGACGTTAGATCAGAAGGAGGATCATCTTCTGGACCGTAGTTAATCATGGGTAACTGAAACCACAGAAAACAAATCTGCAGATAAGGAAGGGACCATTGAACTATGAATGTTCTCCTTGCATAAATAACTGAAACACAGAGAGGCTAAGTAACTTGCAAAAGGTCACACAGCCAGTTAGTGGCAGAGTCTGAATTTGAAGCCAAGGGCATGGGCCCTAGACCCCATGCTCTTAACCAGCATGCTAGGGCAGGTTGTTTTCATGAGCACTTTTGGTGAGTGTATCAGGAGTAGGTTTAGATCTGGGTGGAAATGAGGAGAGAGAAGGACCTTAGAAAGAGGACGCAATGGGAACATATGAGAAAGGACAGGATTGGAAGAGAAAAGGGAGATGCTGGGGCAGATGATGGAACATGTATTATATAGGAAGAAATGAAGGCAGGGCTTACATTTTAACAGAAGGAGACAAAAAGATGTGTGCAAATGAGATTGTTTCTCTTCCATATCAACAATCTTCTTGAAACTCAAAGACATTAAATTTGAAGAATAATTAAATAGGTCAAGTGTGGTAAAATTACTTTATTTCTCTTTCTTTATTTTCTTTACTTTTTAAAAAGACTTTATTTCTCTTTAAATCTTCATTCTGTTCTATTTTAGATGTGTTAAAAGGTGTTGATTTGGTAAATTTGGGTTTAGGGAATTTTCTTTTCAAAAGACAGTCTGAATCTGGACAGAGATATTTAGCCAGGGCTTGTGATGGTTGCCATGGGACTATGTAAAGCCAAGATCAGAAATAATCCAGGGTCTTCCAACAGGAGCCAAACAGCTGAAGCTATGAGAAGGGGAAATGATTCTCCCCTTTTGAAAACTAACAACTATAGCTACGAAGTCTCTTTACTTTCCCTCCAAGCCATACATCAGGTAATGGTGTGTTGGCTCTGCTCCAGGAGCCCCAGCACACCCATATCTGGCCCCAAAGTGTGGGCACACTCCTTTCTCCTCTCCCCTGCTTAAAGGTCCAGTCTTCCAGAATGTGTATGTGTCTTGCACCATGCAGAAGCTATCCTGTGGCTCAGTCATTAAGCGTCTTCCTTTGGCTCAGGTCTTGATCCCAGGGTCCTGGGATCGAGCCCCACATTGGGCTCCCTGCTTGGCGGGAAGCCTGCTTCTCCCTCTCCCACTCCCCTCTGCTTATGTTCCCTCTCTTGCTGTGTCTCTGTCAAATAAATAAATAAAATCTTAAAAAAAAAAAAAAAGCTATCCTGTAGGGTGCCTGGACTCAGGGTACATGTCAGACACTGATCTGAGTCGTGATGATTGGATTAAGTTGGTGAGGTCTCCAGTTGGAATTTGGGGAATGGTCCCATGTCATTCCATGTCGGTTTTACAAGTGAGTCTCAAAGCACAGATACTCTATTTAGGCTGCTCTTTACTTGTACTTTTCCCTGGCTTGGGCAGTTTCCTTTAATGCATGGGTAAAAATGCATTAGGAGGCAGGAGGCAGCCCAAGACCCTTCCCTAGATCTTTGGAAATCTGTCTCTTGTATGCTGCCCCAGAAATTCCAGGTTCCTTGGCCTCTGAAAGGGTGAGCCCTGTCTCCTCAACTCAGCAAGACCTCCGGGCTCTCTTTGGGTTCCACCTCCCTGAGCTTTGGTCTGGAAATTCCCTCTCAGGCAATAAACTGATGTAATCATAAGGCATATCTCATTCACTTCCCTTCTCTCAGGGATCACCATCCTGGGCTACCTATTGTTCAGTGTCTGAGAAATATTGTTTCACATCCATTGTCTATTCTTCTAGTCATTTCAGGCATGAGGGTAAATCTAGTCCCCGCTTCTGGCCAGAAACTAAAGTTCCCTGTTCGGTGTTAATGCTTAGCTCCTGGAGTTGGAAAGCTGGTCACAATTTATTACCCTTAAACTGGTCAAAACTTATTACCCTTAAACTTGCTCTAATTAGTAATGTTTCATCTTCAATACTCAAATATAAAAGGTAAGTGCTTATATTTTATATTGCATCCTGTTTTCAAGGCTTTAGTGACTGCTTTTAGCCACCCACTTTGTCATGGTCAACATGTTTATTTACTTGGCTAGTCTCATCCTTTTCTCCTTCTTTATTCTTTGTAGTCTTAATTTATACATATATAATATATATGTTATATATATATGCTATATATATTTTTTTTTTTTGAAAGGGCATCTACAATTCTTTTCTTCAGGCTGCAGACTGAATCTTAATAGAAGAAGCAATAGTTAGGGACTGTTTCAAGAAACTTGAATTAAAATTGTTAGGTAACTAGATTTAAAAAATAGAAATTATTATCAATATGGTTTCTGTCAACATCCTAGATATACAAGCTTTCATAGTAGTTCCAAGGTGTTTGGTTGCCCTGAGATGTCACAGTATTTTACAAATCAATACTATTTTTCCATTTTGCAGGAGGAACTGAAGGTAAAGTGAAATTGTTACCTGGCAAAGGACATTTTTGATTCAAAAGGTAGATGTAGAATAGAAATCCATTAAAAACTGAATTGAAATGCATTTGCATCTTGGTAGCAAACTAAAGCCACACATAGCTACGGACCTCAGTCCCATGCATTACATTTGAGACTTGCTTCCTTTCCTCATCTAATGATTCATCTGTTCAACGGTGTGGGTCACCATCATAGGAAGGAAGCAGAACCTAAGAAGGAGATTTCAAGTTGCTGACACTGCTGGAGTGAAGGTAGAATTTAGAACATTGGCCATGGGAGTAAACATACTGCCAATTTCAGCAGAGAAAAGTACATGTCCTTGAACATTGCATGGCATCCTAGGTTTCTGAATGTCAGCCACACTTCGAGGACACAAAAGACTAAAGTCCCCATTATCAGACATTTGAAAACTGGTATGGATAAGAAACATAAGATTTAGTATCAAAGGAGTTCTATTTCATGCATTCTTAGGACCAAAACAATGCCATGACTTTTAAACTTAACTTTTCTGAAACCCTTTCCTCATCTGTAAAATGGAGGGTTTTTTTTTTTAATCGAATGAAACCACTACTCTTAGCAATTGGTTCACTTTTTTTTTTAACCTTCTCTACAAAGAGCTTAAAAGCAAAATACGAAGAGTCACATGGTTGTTTCAAATAATCACAATAGAGTCAGCAGCACCACATTATATTCATTTTCACAAACTGGGGAATGTTGTATTTGAAATAGGAGAGACAAGCATTTATTTTAAGGTAATAAAAGGCAAAATTTAGTATTAGGGCAGATAGGAATTTCAGAGACCTTTAGATCTTTTTTTTTCCTGTTAGTCAACAAAATAGGACTTCAGAGTTCACATTTATCTGAGACGATGCTTCCAGTAAAAATCTGAGACCTTTATTGTTACTTTTCTGTAACTATTGCCTTATTAGGAACAGATCCACACTGTTTTTCTATCCTGAAATCAAACACCTTTGAAGTTGGAGCAGCCTCACAAAATAAATAATGGTGTTGACATGTTTCCTTGCTTTTCTATTTTCTCCCTATAATCGGGTGATAATTCTGAATCATTGCTAAATAATTTATTATCTTTTCAAAGTATAATATCTGTCATCTAACGTAACTAAACTTTAATTTTAAAGACATCTTTGTACATTCATTTGCATTTAGTAATGACGCAGGTTACTGCATCTGATAATGGTCAAACTTAGACTTACACTGAAGTTTAAGTTCCTGGCTTCTGGTCCCCCTCACCTCTTCCAAAGCTTCACTTGGCATCGTCTTTGAGTAGCATGTCTAAAGACAGGCCAAAGGGGGTCTGCTACCAAGCAGAATTATGCATTCCTTAAGCCACAGGAGGCTGTGGTGATTGGAAGTCCTAGGTTGGAGACCTTGTATGAGGGTGAAGTTTTCCATAATTGGACAAAATCAAGGGATCTCCTCATTTCTCTCTGTGTAGCTAACAATACAGAACTAAAAAACATAC